CACACACACACACACACACACACACACACACACACACACACACACGCGCGCGCGCACGCACGCACGCACACATGTGCCAGTCCCATACTCGCACACGTGCACACATCCCTTAATGCACTCTCACCTTCCCCCTGTTGTGGTGTGAGTATGACCCGTCTCCCATAGGCTCATGTATTTAACCTGTTCCCCATGCTAGAAGCGTGTTTAGAAAGGTTATGGAAGGAACTTTTAGGAGGTGGAGCCTCACTAGATGAAGTGAGTCACGGGGGGTGGGGGGGTGCACATATAGCCTACCCCCATTTCATGTTTGCTCTCCTTCCTGAGTGTGACACAATGTGACCAGCTGCCCCCTGCTCCTGTCACCAGGCTTCTCTGCCTACCACCATGACAGACAGTATCACTCAGGAACTGTTAAGCCAAGGTGCTTTTCCCCAATGTTTTTGCCAGAGCAACAAGAAAGACACCCCAACATGGCCTGTGCATACCCTTACTTACACATGCACACTTACGTACATACATACATACACACATACACACAGATTATTGCATAAGCACCCTCAGGCTGCCATACATGTACAATCTCACATACGTGTGTACACAAACATCCTTACTCTCTCATTCACACACACTTTAATATTTGCCCATACTTTCTATAATGGGGATAGTCACTGTGAGACCAGGGAAGGGAGGAAGTGGCATGGGAAATTTGTGTCACACAAGGTGTGACAAGGTCCATTTGGCCCCTTGATTTGAAACGTTCTTCGGTTTGCCTACGTGGCTTGAAATTTTCATTTCAAGGAAAAGTTTTCAATTGGAATTTCACTGTTCCTTGCAAAAGTGCACACTTCTATATTCATGTCACATGACAGTTAAAAATACAGCAGCAAAGTTGAGGAAATAGTTCCGTCCGAACACCACTCACCATATAAATTTGAAGACCTGAGTTCGATGCCCAGTATTCACAGAAAAAAAAAGCCAAATATTTTGGTGTGAGTTTGTAATCACAGCTTTGAGGAGGAGCCTCAAAGAGACCCGAGTGTCCTTGGGCCCAGAATAATCAGTGAGTTTCAGACCAGTGAAGGACCCTGTCCGCCCCCCCAAAAAAAGGAAAAAAAAAAAGATGGCCAACACTTATATATTGACATCTGAGATTGCCTTCTGCACATCTGGATACATGAACATACCCATATGAACATATGTCCAAACAAGATAAAGAAAATCGATATAAGAAAAACAAATTGGCACCAGATGAAAACATCAGGGAAGCAGGGATCACTTCTTTCTACATGAAAAAAATAAAGATCTATGTCACTGTCAACACAAACTTCAGAGCTCTTAATGCACAGGGACAGTGCATTAAGGAGCAGGTTGCCCTCCTACCCAGCTGCCCTTTAACGTGCAGGGCTGGACTGAGATTGATGCTGGCATCCTGTACTGCTGCTGTCAGTGTTCTCCAGTCACTAGCTATGCTATTGGTGCTGGGTCTGGGAACTAAGGCCGGGGCTAACAGAAGGCATCAGTAGACACTGGCACTGCATTCCTGGCTGGTGTGTCGGCAGCAAGGCAGCCTTTGAAGGTGCTTGCTGTGCGCGCAAGATGTGTGTGAGTTCTGCACCCTGCTTTGATTTCTGCTTTCAACTTTGTCTAAGACCTTGGGCCCCATGACGTGCACTGCTTAATTCTATCCACAAAGTGGCAGCACTCCTCCACTATGGCAAGTGCCCTGGCTGGGACGCGCAGGCATGCAAGTCAGAGGTCACCTGCCTACCTAAGGTTAGTTACCTGCCTAATGAGCCACGTGACTCCCTTCATGCACCTGCCAAACCTCCTGTGAGCTGTCAGATGTCAACCCTTGTTCAGGGTATGCTAGAAAAACCCAGGACACACGGGGGGACACAGCCTCTCCCCCCTTTCTGAACTCCCAGCTCAGAGCTGGCTTCTCTCCCCAGCAACTAGAACAATGGTTCTCAACCTTTAGGTCTCGACCCCTGCATAGCTGACATTTACATTATGTTTTATAGTAGTGGCGAAATTACAGTAGGAAGTAGCAATGAAATAATTTTATGGTTGGGGGGTCACCACAACATGAAGGGCTGTCGTTAAAGGGTCACAGCATTAGGAAGGTTGAGAACCACTGGCCTAGAGGTAGTGGTTCTAAAATCTTGAAAGTGATACTTAGAAACAATTTAGATGACGGTCACAGGGCAATGACTAAGGACCTGAAAATACAAGCACATTGCAAAATTATGACAAAACTACAGGAAATGATTTTTTTTTTTTGCTTTCAATAATCTGATAAAAAAAAAATTCCAAGGATGGCCAAAGGGGGAAAACATTGCAATGAAAGACACAATCTCACATCTGTAGCTACAATCTCTGTGTAAGCATATCAAAATATTTACAATAAAATGTTGTTACCTGATTCTAACGACTATTTCTTCTAATAAAGCAGACCCTGCTGTTGTAGTTGGGAGGAAAGAGAGTCAGGTTATCCTGGGATGTGCTTTTGTTCTTAATAATTAATGGCCGGATCCAGAGTTCGTTCCAAAAGAGGACAGCATGGAGGACAGCAGGTCTAATAGGATCTGGGGGCTGGAGGCTTTGGTGGAGAGCACCCGCTCAGAGAGTCCTGCTAATGTGGCTTGCCCAGGGCTTGTAACTGCCAGATGCAGGGCCAGGGCCCTTTCATCCTCTCAGGGCAGGGTCCTTATGATTCTTTCCAATGGCCACCAAGTGGACACTGAGTGCCCCTGACTCTTCCTTGACGTTCCATGACTGGCTAGATCACAGGACTGTTTTAGTCACTAGAAGAGGGCAGAAGGCCTCTCAGAATCCATGCCTCATCCACAGAGCTCCTCTCCTCTCTGTTCCTCTGCCTTCCCCTCTCCATCACTTAGAGGACTCTGGGGCATACTGGAGCCACAAGGAGGAGCAGGGACCTTTGAGTGTTGGCAGGAAGAGAGCTGCCTCTGTATACTGAGTGCCCACCTACATTCTGGGATGAGAAAGAACTTCCACTGGGCTGAGTTACTGGCTTTGATGAGTCTGTTATCACTGCTTAACGTCTAATAATACAGTAGCCTGATTATTAATTGACTGAGGGCTGAAACCCAACCACTTGATTTCTTCACAACCTTTGACAAAACAGTTTTGCCTCTGCTGAACATTTGACGCCACTGAGGAATAATTCACTAGTGTGTGTTGGGGGTAAACAATTAATCCTAAAGACAAAACTAATGTGTCTTATGCAGTCTTCTGTTTCACTAGTTTTCTGTGAGACGTGAGGATCACAGGTTCTCATTTGTCAGTTTGCAGAAAGGGAAAACTCTTTGCTCCCCATACTTTGTAGGAAACTTTTAAAGAGGTTTGTTTAAACCAAATAATAATGCTTTAGAAGGTGTAACAAGGCCACATGGGTGGATGTCTAGGACCAGCAGCTCTTGGAGCCTGCCTGTCCTTTGTACTGCACCAGAGTCACCATGGGGTAGAGGCTGTGAGAGCAATGCTGTCACTTCACAGAGGCTTGAGTTCATCTCTCACCTCTACCAGTGACCAGCTTTGTGATCTCAATTAAGTGACTCCCTTCTGAGTCTGTCACTTGGTAGAATGGAGACTACACTCCTTATAAATCCATTCATTTCCTTGTTCATTCAGCATTTAAAAGTATGTATGCCAATCCACCTCCCCATCTGAGGAAAATCTGTCCCAATGCCCTGTGCGCATTCCTGAAACTGAAGATACCACCAAACCTATGCATAGATACAGGAAAATGTATGTATGTGTACATACATACACATGTACCAATGAAAAAAATTAAATTTATAAATTAAACACAGTAAGAGATAAACAACAGTAACAAAGCACAGCCATCATAACGATACATTGTAATAAAAACTACTAAAAGGTCATGAATTCACTTCTGAACTTTGCATTTAAAATGTTCTCAAACTTTGTTTGAATGCTGGTAATGAAACAGCACCAAGCAAACCCACAAGCTCTTGGGGCAAGATGCTGTTCTGTCTACAGCCATTGCTTTATGCACCAATGCTATGGTGAAGTGATCTAGACGGGTAAGGCCTTATCCTCAACCAAACCTGTATCTTATTGTGCTGATGTAAGCCCGGTAGGTTTACGAGCCCCTGCAGCACGGGAGGAGGTCAGTCAATGGGCATGAGGAAGAGCTGTGTTGTTAACATTGGCATTCTCTCATCACTCACTCACCTGCCCGGTTGTTCCGGATACTTCTGCTTGGTATAGGCCTCAAGCGTGGCATAAACCTTCTCTCGAAGAGTCTCCACCTCAGAGGGGTTGGACAAACCCTTGGCATCTGCAGAGAGCAATGGATTTGATTTCTGGTTAATGCTTCAGCAGGACACTTCTCCAGACAGTGTCCCTATCATACTGGCCTCCCCGCTCCCCCAGCATTAGGAGAGACACATGGAACCCAAGCATGGGGACAACTGGGAAGTAAGCAGATCACGGTGTCAGATGGCTGACCTTTCTGTGTATAAGCTCCCTCACAAATGCTCGGTTTTAAGGATTTTCAACTGTTAATAGTGAGTGAACTCTCTTCTGACTTAAGGAGGGTTTAATTCTATCCAGGCCTGTCTGGAAAAGTGACACTCACACACTTACGGGATGCTTTCTATATGTTGAGCATGGCTGCATGGTGAGATGGGGAATGGAAACTAAGCCTACACATGGGCAGAATCAGTGCCACCCTAATCCTGGAGCTAAAGGGTGCCCATATGTCACATCACACTTCGGAAGACAGGACACGCAAGCAGCCATGGATAAAGCTGGCCACTTCCTCCTCTTGAGTTCCTTTGCACCTGGACCTCCAAGATGTCACACCCTTCCCACTGACCACACACCAGGCTCCTTTGACAGTTCTTTCTCCTGCCAGCTTGTGAGGCTCTCGGTCCCCAGCCCTCTTCTCCGAAGTCTTTGCTCATAATTGACCTCTCATCAGGTTTGTGGCTGCCTCCCAATTCAGTCAGAGGTAGGCAGCTCTTAACTATATATCTTTATATATCTTTGGTCTCAGCTTCTCCTGTGAAGTCAATTCTCTTGGATGTCTACTGCCCATCTCTAAGCTCATTGTCCAAAGACAAAATCCTGGTTCCAGCACTCACCCTTAGAACTTGCTCCCCCTGGAGATTTAACCATGTCAAATGAATGGGAATTCCATGTCTATAATTGTTCTGGGAAATGAACCACCCCTGAGACATATTTGACTTCTAACTTTCTTCTACACCCTACATCTAATTCACCAGTAGATACCAGTGACTTAGACATACTCAGAATCTGACCACATTTTACCTTCCCCTTCCTTTCACAGTGAGTCGATGTCATTTCTCATAGTCTCCAGCTGCACCGCCCCCCCACCTCCACACACACCTAACCAAACTCCACACACAGTTACAACACTTTCATGACGGCTGTGGAGAGGACAGAGCTCTATACGCTGATGGGTTCTGGGATGAAGCTGTCCTATTTGAGCTGAGCTTGGCAGTGTGGGGGAGGCGTGGACAGCAACAGCAGAGCCCTGGAGGTAACCTTGAAAGAGGGATGACCCCCAGACAGTGGCTGAAGTGAAGCAGAAGTCACCTGGGTTGAAGAGCACAATGGCTCGCAGGCACCCGAGCTCTGACTTATCCATCTGCATGTCTTTCATCTTGGAAACCAGCTCAGTGAGGACTCTGTTCACAGGATGCAGGGACAAAGGAGGAGAGAAGCATGAGTTCCAGGCCAAGGACGAGCAATGAATTCCATCACTATCTGTCTACCTGTGGTGGGCCTACTCAGTTTCTAGACACTGCTGAAGGTGTTTGGGTACAGGGAGGGAGACAACAAAGTCCCTCATCCTAAGGAACGTACAGTGTGGAGGAAGAACTGGTGTGGAAACTACACTACACAGAAAAGTCCAGTGAGTTACTGCCTCCAGAGTTCAAGAGCTCACCAGGGAGGAACAATGACCTCCCAGCAGGGAAGAGAAGGGCATGAGAAATGCAGCAGGAAAAGCCAGCCCAGAGCACTATACATGTAGAAGGACCCACAGAAGGCAGCACAGGTCAAAGGGTGAGTATCTCCAGGAACCATGAGAGTGCTTGAGCACTCATGGAAAAGGATGGTGAAGAGGTAGACTCGTCTAAAGTAAGCGTGTATGTCTCCCAAAGAGACCGCTTATGAGGTGGGTAGAGGAAGGGGGGCTGGGTCCTGGAACTCAATAGACTATTTTCAGATTTCTCTTTCCTTTTACCAGAAACCCATTCTTTTAGCTCGAAGTAACCAATCTACTTATTACTTTATTTATTTAATGTATACTTTATATGATATATTATACTTTATACTGTATTTATATTGCTCTTCATGTATTTTTTTAATGCACTTTAGTACATTTAAGGGAGAGAGTCTCTGTCACGGTGTCACTTTTTGACTGAGCTTGCTTCTGCTGTAGCCTAAGAGATCTGGCATCCAGAGAGAAAGAGTCCAGAAGAAAAATGCTAGCCCAACATACCAGGCCTCTTGAAGACGCATCCTAGACCCTTTTCTCCATCCCCGGCCTCTATGATATGCTGTCCTCCTTCCCCACCTGCAGCCAACCAGCTGATGTCATGGGCCACCCAAGTCAAAAGCATGAGGGTAGCAGACCCTTCCCTCCGCCAAGCAATGATGCCAGCCTCTGACTGGCTCTATTTTGTTGCAATCACCTTTGCCTAAATCCCTCTCTAGGTCTCTAGATTTATATTTTCACATGCTTAATAGTCTCTGGAAACTGGGCTCACACCTATAATCCCAGCATTCAGGAGGCTGAAGCAGGAGGATTATTACAAGCTAAAGCCCAGCTCGAGCTATAGAATGAGACACTGTCTCCATATAAGAAAGAAATTGTTTTGATATAGTCACATGGACCTGTTTGGACGGCCTATTGTACATGAGCATTACACAGAGGGGAGAAGAGAGAAGTGTGTGTATACACAGTGTGCATGCATACAAGGTGTGCAAATCCTAAAAACAGAAGGGAATTACAACCTGTCAAAGATGGAGCCAACACCCGCACTGTGAGCGCTGCTCCTGTGGACATGGAGGCCTGTGGCCAGCAGGATGCCATCTTGGACAGATACTGAGCGGTGGGAGAAGGAGGCAATCAGCAATTCATTCCACCCTGCAAGTGTAGAGAGGAGACCTTGTGGGAAAAGCAACCACATTCCTACTTCCTTGATAGTCAGCAATGCATGGATTATTATCCCATGTAATGAAAGCAGAACTGAAAATCCTGGGAGGTTAAGACACAGCTCAAGGTGACATATGTAATTAGTGACAAAAGAAAGGACAGGGCTAGAGTTGCCTGACTTCGTGGCTCTGCATAAACTCCTGCCGTTTCTCAGAGGCAGACTAGAATGACAGCTTGAGAACAGGGACTCTTTTTGTCGTCGTTGACAACAAATATGAATTGGAGCTTTACCAGACAATAGTCACTGTTAGCTGAATGATGGAGACAGTGACTGTACCTCATAGTCTCTGTTCCAGCACCTGACAACCTAGTTGTATTTCTTTGGTGTCATCTATAGCAACAGCACAGTATGTCGCTTTCAGGGGACACTCGGTGATCACTCATCATCTAACAGGGATGCGTGAGTGGACTGGTTCCAAATGCTCGGCCAGTCCTCATCTCCCTGATGGCTCTGTGACAAAGAGGAGCTATGGCAGATGCCAACAGACTGCAGCGTCTCCAATATGGGCGACAAGATTGTAGCACAAAGAATCTTAAAATGGAGGAAAGCTTGCACCTCAAGTAACACAGGCCTGGCAGAAAGATCTCTCTCTCTCTCTCTCTCTCTCTCTCTACCTCTCTCTCTCTCTCTCTCCCCTACCCCCCCTAGTGTGTTTGTGTGTGTGTGCACATGTGTGAGTGCAGGTGTGAGGCCAGAGGAGGACATTTAGCCTTCCCACTCTATCACTCTTCTCCTTATTCTCAGGGACATGGGGCCCCTTGGTGAAACTGCAGACTGACTGGACAACAAGCCCTCGAAATCCTCCCATCTCCATGCCACTCCCAACACCTAGAGCTTGGGTGATAGGCACATGCAGCCTCAACCAACTTCTCTCTTCACACATGTGTTGGGGATCCTGTCTCAGTTCCTTCCACTTGTACAGCACCCACGTTTACCCACCATGCCATCTCCCCAGTCCCCCAAATCTCTGGCTTTCTTATTTCACCTGTGAAGAGGGACTATCTCCATTTGCCAGTCTTACAGTTAAGATACTGCTTCAAATTATCCTCAGTAAAGTTATTTATGAGACTTTGAAATTAAATGTAAATTATAAAACCACAGAAACATTTGCATGGGGGAAAAGCCCTACTCTTCCATGAATGGGGTTTCATTTGGGAATGACAGTCCTTGGGGACTGTCATTAAATGTACATTACATTAAATGTAAAGGTCTGTAAATGACATCAAATGAAGGCCAGACACAGCAGCACACACCTTTAATCTCAGTGCTTGGGAGACAGAGGTAGGCAGAGCGTCATGAGTCCAGCCTGGTCTATATAATGAGTTCAAAAAAAGTATCAATTGCAAGTTGCTCCTTTTGGGTCCCATGGGTCATTTCAAAATAGTAGCCTAGGGGATTGTCTCAGGACAAGAGGAACCCCAATGCCTTACCTGCCCGGAGCAGAATGACCTGGTCCTCCAAGGTGAGGTCTGAGAAGTGGGGGATGCGTTTGGCCCACTCAACAAGGGTGAAGAGCTGCTTGTCAGCAGCATGGCATATGTTGGTAACAGGGTCATTTGTCTGAAAAAGGAACACATTCCCATGAGGTCCTGGGACTCTAAATAACCCTCTCTGACCTCCAACCCCAGTCAGGAAATGGAAGCTGGATGGAGCTCTGACAGCATACCGAGTTTTCCATGTTCCTGTCACCGTACGATTCTGTCTTTGGTTCCACAGCAAGTTCAGCTTCTAGAATCCTCTCCACAGGCATGTCTTCGTGGCCACTACTGGCACATTCTGCCTCACTCTCGGCTCACTCCCGGCTCCTCTGCCTTTCTTCTTGCACAGCTGGCATGTGGCAAGACTGACAGAGGTTACAGAGTGCCAAGGACCAGTGTGGGACAGTCACCTGCCTAAAGTTTCTCCTGTATAAAATGGACTCATCGTGGTACTGAACCAGGGACACTGTAATGCTGACAGGTGGAACAAAGACAGCAAAGCTGTTTCCTTGTGGGGACAAAGGTGGGTCATATTGTTTCCAATGCATTACAAAGACCCTCTTAATATTGCTGTTTTAGCTTCACTAAGGTCCAATTCCACCCTTCTTCGAAGGTGCTACCATCTCCTTGCTAACCCCATTGTGTACATTATCCCTCCTATTCTACTGGTTCTGACAAGCAGTGAGCTTGCAGCGGTTAAGGAGCAAGCCCATCGCTGCAAAAACTCCCCTTGTCAGATCCTATACATCAGCCTTGGCATTCGCGTCCCATTAGGTAGGCCCCTGTGCACCAGCCTGAACACAACATCACCTGATCCGACTTGTCAGGGAAGATCTTCAGGGAGCCAGCTGTGGGGATTTAGTAAGTGAAGGGGTGGAGGGATGTCACCTAGAAGACATTTCAGAATGTGCACTGATTTCATGGGTGGGGGAGGGCACATAGGCAAAGGTGTAGGCTGGAGTTACTTCTGCATTCCCCAAACTTGGAATTTTTCATCAAAGTTCACTCTAGCTCGCAGAACTCTTGGTCCACACATTGGGGTGCAAGGCAGACCCCACACCCCACATTGCCCTCTCAAGGTGAAGAGTTTCTGTTGGGTTCCTTCCCATCTACAAAGCTGCTGTTTCTAGTTTAGTCCCAGCAGCAGTGAGCAGAATTCAATATTGGAAGATAGTTTGCTCATACAAAGCAATGAATTCTAACTTGCTAAAGGACCTTTCCAAGTAGCCTTCCCTCCAGGTCTCTCCCTCACTGTTCCCATTCCAAAGGCCAAGGAGCCCTTATCCTCTGAGGATATGATGAGCCACAGAGGCTGTCTGAAGGGCTGGAACTGGGGTGCTGCATATGGAGTCTCTCTTGTGAAGGATGAGACTGGTTTCCTGAGGCCAGAGAAGAGCCCTAAAACCACCACTAATGATCCCAACCAGGTAGTAATATTATGTGGCCCACAGAAACAGGAAGAGTATAGGAAGGATGGAGAAAATAAACAAAGGGATCAGACAAGAGAAGAAACTGAAAGACAACAGAAAGGTGTAGGGGACAGTGTAAGCCATGCCTGCTAGAAGGTGGCTACAGATGTGCCTCACCATGCCTGTCATGGCATGGTCAAGGTGAGGTCAGGATGACACATGACAGGGTTTTAAGGGGCAGCAAGGCACATAGAAGCCCCTTCTCTCTGGCCTCACTGCCTTGCTGCCCCTGGCACGCTCTGGCTTGTGTTTGGCTGATGTTTTTCTAATAAAGGATATCTTTATCCCAAGCTCCATATCCTTATCGTAAGCTCCTTTTATTTCTCAGTAGAGAGGAGGAAATGCAAGAGGAGAGTGAACACACACCTCAGAGCTAAAGAAATCTTTTCAAATGTATCTTGGCCACGTGCATGCAGATGCTCTCAGATATGACACTCAGCCTCCTCCCAGCCTTGCTTCTTTGCCCATGGGGCTAGAATTGCAGTCACTGACTGAGATAGATTTGTGGGAATTACCAAAACAACTGTAAAAGTTTTGATGGAATATTTATTTCTCCTTTCCCTTTGTCTTCCTGCCCTATGGGCTTATGTCTCTCCCCCAGTCTTCCCACCGGGTCCCTTCCTCTTTCTGTGTTTCCCTTTCTTCCTCATTCTTTTTCAGTTCACTCTGTCAGTCTTCATTCCGTGATAACCTGTGGGAACTACAGTGCATGTTTTTCTCTCAGTCGGATTTTTTGGTTGAAGTTAAATGTTATTGCACTTATCTTTAAGAAATCAATCCATTTCTCCTTGTCCTGAATTTTAAAAACCAAATTCTTTCAAGTCAAGTTCTTTCTGTGATCGTCTTCTGACAGACTTGTGACACTCAAGGAAAATAACCTTGTAGCTTCTAAGAAAGTCTTGGCTTCAGGAAACTAGGTTCAATTCCCAGTTGCCATTAATTGAGTAAGAATTGGCTATTCCCTCTTCCTATGAGTACTATAAACCTCACTGTTAAAACTGAAGCAACATATCATTATTAGAAGCCATTCTACATGGCAGATTCCCTCCGCTCCTGCTACAATACATAACGATATCTCCAGAACAACTACTAGCTGATCTAAAATGGTCCCAGCCTCCAGTTACTGTGTATTTTCAGGTTCTCCATCAGCTGGCATTAATGGAGCACTTTCCAGATCAGAAGCTATATTTCATACTTGATATTTTATATAGATTATTATATCTCATTTAACCCCTTCCAATAACTCTCTGGGGTACTGTGAACCACAGAAAACCTAGATAACCTGTCTGAAGTCAAAAGCTAAGACAAGTAGGAGCAGTGTGGAGCCCATTTACAGACCTTCCACACTGCTCCTAGGGCACTAGGATAGGCTGAACTAGCAGGACCAAAGGATGTCTACACCATGTACATCCTTGAAGCCATAGCAAGGATTTCCCCCTTTCTCTTAGTGAAATCTGGATGTTTTGGTGGGGGAATGGCTTGACTTGGCCATCTTGTTCACACTGGTGTCTCTACTAAGGAAAGTCACAGAGAGGCAGCTTGGGACACCATTTGGCTCTTAGGGTCTTTTCCTCATCTGTGAGCTGGTTCCTGTTGGTTGGGTGATTCTGAAAGGTATCCTTCTCCTGTCATATTTCCTTACTGATGGCATTCCCTCTATGCATGGGCTCAATGACCTGTTCCTTCATTGTTTCTTTCTGGCAGATTTCCTCAAACCCACAAGAGGTGTTGAAGGAACGACTCGGCGATTGTCCTACTGCAAGGGGAGGGCATCCTGCACCAGCACTAAGAGTCCCCAGGAACACCAGGCATCTGCACAAAGCCCTCTACTTAATTAACTGCCCACTTCAATTTATTTGTGTTACTTAGCAGGATGACTTTCGATCTTTTAAAGCAAGAACGACAACGAGGGAAAGGCACTTTCAGATTTGTTACTCTCTGACACAAGGATAGCCCGCTAACTCACACTATAAATTAAAAGATGAAATCACTTCAATGCCTGGTGACACTCTCTGGGACTGAGAGGGCCGGTCTGCCAGACCTGTAAATGCCAATAATCCACAAAGACTGAGGAATATGCCAACGTGAAATGACTTGCTGCAGACCGGGGTTATAAATCCTAGATGGCATCAACAAGCCTGCAGTGAGACTATAGCAGGAAGCCAATTCCACCCGGAAGGTCAGCCTGGTGCTCCCTTGAAGCCAGAGAGAACAAGGCTTCTAATAGCTCCGAGTCCTGCTGCCCATTTACTGGAAGGGAAATGGAGAGGGCCCTGTGTGAACACCTGTCCTTGGACTCTCAGAGAAGAGAGATGACAGAGAAAGAGTCGTCTCTGGCCCTATGAGCTCTGGAGGTAAGCCTGGAGAAACTGTGGCACTTAGATTCATCTTAACCTCCACATCAAACCTCTCCCTCCCACAGAGTCCAGTGAGCAGCCCGGACCTTCCTTATGCTTCTGACTTCATATCTCTCTGCATGCAGCCTGCTCTCCTTGAGTAGAGAGGAGCAGTGGGGTACCTCACCTTCCCTCTTCATGCCCATGACCAGGCACTTCTGGTAACGACAGTACTGGCAGCGGTTGCGTTGGCGCTTGTCAATGAGGCAGTCTTTGTTATCCCGACAGGTGTAGATGAGGTCTTTCCTTATGGTTCTTTTGAAGAAGCCTTTGCAGCCTTCGCAGCTGTATACGCCGTAGTGCTTTCCTGGGTACAAGATAGCATCCCATAGACCGCTTGTATTTATTTGGGTTTCTCATGGCAAAGAAGCCTGGGACTACCCCCCAAGGAAACAGCTATAGCCCCTAAGCACAAATAACAACTCCCAGAGAGTGCTAGCTGCACCACAGGATGCAAAGTAAGCATAAATAACCTTTTTTGTGTCTTCCCTCCATATCTCCAACTCCAGACAGCATCATTAAAAAATTTCTGACCTCAAGATTTTATTGACATTTATTTTTATCAAAGCAACTCTTGGATTTGGATAAGCAAATGCCCCACCTCAGCTCAATATTTTAGTGTACATAACAAATAAAAGATGTATTATCCGGCAGGAGAAGAACCTTGATTTAACTGACATTTCTCAAAATGAACCCAAGGTCTCAGGAAACCCATTAAACTCATCATCTTGTACTGTAAACTATGAACACTCCTGAGCTACTGCCTGTGGGTGCAAAAAAAAAAAAAAAACCAAAAAACAAAAAACAAAAAACCTGCTATAAAATCTTTACAGTGTAACATTATACTCAATCTTAAATAGGGCATACATTTCTGATAGACAGTAATTTTGCTTCATCTAAAATAATTGGTTGTATGCTTCACTGTCTCTGGGTCCTATAGGTATCCCTGGCAAGAACAGATTATTTGTGTCAAGAGAGCTGCCTGCCACACCTGTCTCCAACAGCTACCATGAGTCAATCAATGCTTGCTCTAAGGCACTGGTTCTCAACCTGTGGGTCACAGCCCTTTGCAGGGCAGCAAACAACTCTTTCATGGGGGATATTAGATATCCTGCATATCAGATATCTACATTATCATTCTTAACAGCAGCAAAATTACAGTCATGAAGTAGCAATGAAATAATTGTATTGGGAGTCACCACACATGAGGAACTGTATTAAAGGGTTGCAGCATTAAGAAGGTTGAGAACCACTGCCATAAGGAAAGTCTCTATGCTGTATACTACGCAGCTATGGTCACATGACTGGAGTCACAGACCTTGAAAATGTAATGAAGCAGATTGTTTAAAACACTTTAGGTCCGCCTCTAGGATACAAAATGTGGTTCCATATAGCCACAGACCCAATTATCTAATTCTGTTTTATTTCTGTTGATGCTAAAACCCATGTGAAGTCCCTGAGAACTCACAAATGTAACTTCACGCACCCCAGAGCTTACCTGTCAGTGGAGATCACCCTATGAAGTGGGGGCTAGAGACAGCCTGCTTGATGATAAGTTGTGCCAAATTACCTGGCTACACTAACTTTCTGAATTCACAGTAATGATAAATATGGCCCTTCGTCTTGGCCCCAGATACCTTAATACTTTCATCTCTGAGATATTTAACTTTGAGAAGCAGGACCCTAATTTGACCATAGTATGACAGTCATCCCATGGCTTTGCTACACATGAAGGGACCTACTACTTTCAATTAAAGCAACCAAAACAAAGAAAATGCTCTGTCAGGCTGTGACTGACATTCCGTCATGGCAACAGCCATGTCTTCATGATTTGAAAATGAGTTGTAAAGCAAATGTTGGCCATGAAGCTGTCGAAGTCTGAGGCACCTGTGGCTTCCCATGTTACAGCCTGCCGTAGTAACTTTGATTAGAGGCTGGGGAGATGTTAAGTCAGCCATCCTGGTCTGCCATAGTCAGGACATGCTCTGTCTTCTCCCTGTTTTAATTAGTTGGGACAGAGGGTCTCACTGTGTAACCCAGGCTCACTACAAACTCATGATCCCCCTGCCTCACCACTAATGCTGGCATCACAAGCAGGCACCCATGCTTGTCACTCTCATTCTCAGACTCAAATGTGCTCAAAACTGATGGAGGAGGAAGTCAGAGTGCAAAGAATGGAGAGGAAGGGAAAGAAGCAATTTTGGCAAAATGGAAGACGACAAGCCAACGGAAACACATTGATGTATACTTGAAAAAATCTACCACGTTGTGAAAGGAAAAAATGAAACATGCTCAAATAGGAAAGAATTTCTCTTCCATGGGGAAATCTTTTACTTTCTCTTTGTACTTTTATGATTCTTCCCATTTTTTAATTGGTTTTAAAATCATGTATTTGGGACATTTTATGATTATAAGAAATAATTTTTTAAAAATTAAAGAAAAATCTAGCATGGGGTATTTGATCGTCACTTTAATGTCTCAATCCCAGACACGTTTGCAATTGTGTTATTCCAGAGAGGAGCCTCTGAAATATTTCCACTGAAGCTAATCCTTCAAGATAGAAACCTGCAGGCTTTGGGCCCCATGAATGAAATCTACAGGCTAGGTCCCCAGCTGGACCACTCTAAAGGGCCTTTTCATTTCACCAGGTGCAGTACACGCGTGGAGGGAACCCTTCTCTGGAACTCTGTCTCAGAGGACCCATACCTGAGGATCTGTCTCCACAGATGGCACAGATGTGTTTCACCAGAGACCCGGGGCTGGTGGATGGATAGTTCATGTTTCCAATCCCAGGCAGACCTGGTAAGGGCTTGATGTCCTCAGAGCTGCTGACACTATTGACAACATTTAGCTGCAAACAAAGACAAAGAATAAAACATAGGCAGGATTAGCCCAATCTCCCAGGCCTCTTGCAAGGAGCATGTACTTAGCTCCATTTCAAGAAGTAACTTCCAAGTATAGAGTTCCCCAACTGTTCATCTGTGACAGGAATGTAAAACCATGGGACAAATGCCCAAGATGAAAGAACTCATTTTTAGAAGCTAAAACATAACCAGAGCACCACAACACACCTCTATTAAGCTGTTTGTGTTTCTTTCTTTTACTCATGTGATTTGACTTGAGTTGTACTGCACACATAAGACTATGTCAGCTGTGTGACTTTAAATTTTTTATCAGCTACTGACTGCAGATTCAGCAGTGCACTATGGCCCTTGGGCAAGACATACAGATGCTAAAAGCCAAGCCTTCTCCCTCCACCCCAAAATGAAAAACAATTCATTAGTTGATCACTAGACATTCCCCAGGGCTGAGACACAAAATAAAAGTGCATATTTGGGGGTTCATGAAAAAAATGGAAGGGCAGGTGCGTGACTCACCTCTATGAGCTTACTGAAGATGCCAGCACCAATGTTTTGTCCCTGCAATGCCCCTGGTAAGCCCCTACCCCTACCCCCCATGGCATGGAGCTGGTACAAATGGATATCTTGACTTTCCTAGTCCACATCCTTTGTCAAAAGTGACCATCTCCTCCCCACTTATCCTGGTGCCTGTAAGGTGTCCAAGAAGCTGAGGCTCAGTGTTCGTAGTCATCAGAGAAAACAAGTTGAATAAATCTGAGGCAGTCATCCAGTCAGAAACAGTCTGTGGGCACACAGCAGTGTTCTTGGTTGGGCAGAGGGAGACATAAAACCTAGAAGTTCTATCACTTCATCCTCAAAGATGTTTGGTTTCCTTGAGGAGTCAGAATATGCACAATTAAGAACCCGCATATGAGGGGCTGGAGAGAAGGCTCAGGCAGTGAAGTACTTTCCTGTGCAAGTGTGAGCGCCTGAGTAAATGCTATAGATATATTTTTTTAAGTCAAAATGTGGTGGCATGTGCTCAGAATCCCAGTGCTTGGGGAGTGGAGACAAGTGGATCCCTGGGACTCTCTGGATGGCCAGCCTAGACAAAGCAGCAGGCTCCAGGCCAGTGAAACACCAGCATCAAAAGAAGGGGGAGGAGGCCTAGGAGGAGTGGGAGTAGCGGGGAGCAGGAGGGGAGGAGAGGGAAAGAAGAAACAAAGACAGACAGAAGTAGATGACACCTGAAGAACAACTGAAGTTGTCCCATGATCACAACAGGCAAGCTCACACATAAACATACGTATGCACGCACGCACACACACAAAGAACGAACATGCAACTTGAGAGAAAGGAAAGTGGTTCGAGTCCGTACAAGTGTATCAGTTGGAAACATCAGGAAAATATCTAAGGGCTAACACAGGGTCCACGGACTTCCTGTGATCTTCATGAAATTTTAATTATATTGTCTAACCATGTATCTGTAACTCCAAACTGAACCAGAAGCAGGATTTCCCTCTGTTCTGGGACTTTGGTATAGGAAGAAAGCCCAATAACCTTCAATAGCATAAAGTTAGGTTCCTTCTAAAACCACTGGCCTACGGCTGGAGAGATGGCTCAGTGATTAAGACACTAGCTGTTCTTCCAGAGGTCCTGAGTTCAATTCCCAGCAACCTCATGTTGGCTCACAACCATCTTTAATCAGATCTGGTGTCTTCTTCTGTCCTTCAGGGATACATGCAGACAGAACACTGTATACATAATAAATTTTAAAAAAACTAGGCTTTCAATTTGATAAGTAAATATTTATTGAGCATGGAAGACAGACAGGGGCTCTGAGTTGAAGGCTGTGAATATTTTGTTAATTTGTATAATGGATGAAAATGTGTGATGGAAGAATTCCTTCCCTCTTTTTATTCGAGGTTAAGCCAGGCTATCTGGAGCCACACCCAGTATCTTATCCTGCTTCTGTGTAGCATAGACAAGTTCTGCACCTGGGAACGTGGAGAGAAAATGATGCCCATGGCTGGTGCCTGGAGGTCCTCAGATATGGTGGGTCTGAGGACTGTTCTTGCAGTGGGGACTTCTATCACATCACAGATGGCACTGATATACCTCTACAGGTAAAAAGTAAATCACCACATGTTGGCACACACCTTTAATCCCAGCACTTGAGAGGCAGAGGCAGGGGGATCTCTGTGAGTTTGAGGCCAGCCCGGTGTACAGAAAAAGTTCTGGAACTGTCAGGGCTGTACAGAGAAACCCTGCCTCAAAAAAGAAAAAAAAAAAAAGGTGGGGGGATGAAGAGATGGTTCAGAGGTTAAGAGCACTGACTGCTCTTGCAGAGGACTTGGGTTCAATTCCTGGCCCACATGGTAGCTTACAATTGTCTGTAGCTCCAGTTCCAGGGAATTGGACACTCTCATACAGACACACAAGCAGGCAAAATACCAATGTACATAAAATAAAAACAAATCATTAAAAATAAATACATTAAAATAAAAAAAGAACCACTGGCATGGTATGAATCACTGCAACAGCTTTTCCTAAGTGCCCCAAGAGCACATCAGTTAATTCTCGGTTCCATAAACTGGAAGCCAGTCCATCAGATGAGCTCAGAGAGTGAGCCTTATAGCTGGTCACAGCTCCCTCTCATCCCCTAGCTCTGCAGCTGCATCTTGCAGTAACCAGAAGAGTAAGCAATGCATGTGACCATCTCTGGGAAGCTAGATCAATGCCAATTACTACCAAAAGTCCTCACAACAACCCAAAGAGGTCTTCCTGTTTTTATTCTATGTAGGGATGAAGGGGTAGACATTTGTGAACTATTCAGGTGTGTGTGTGTGTGTGTGTGTGTGTGTGTGTGTGTGTGCCTGTGCGTGTGCAGAGGCCAGAAAAAGATGGTGAGTATTCTGTTCTATTATTCACCTTTATTATCTTGAGATGGGGTCTCTTGCTCAGCCTGGAGCTTGGCTGGTGGCAAGTAAGCTCCAACAATCTTTTCTCCATCCCAAGCAAGGCTGGGATTATAGGCATATCGGTAACCATACCTAGTTTTCTTAGGTGGGTCCTGGGGATTCGAACTCAGGTCCTCATGCCTGTGTATCCTGTGCTCTTACCCACTGTGCCATCTCCATAGCCCCCTGTTCTTGGAATGGGTTTTTTCTTTTGTTCATTCAGAAACACTTTGGCTGGTCCACAAGCAAGAAGATGCAGGCACTGCCTCCAGGAATTGTCCAGTAAAATCAGGTGGGATAGTTTAGGAAGGAAAGATTATAACCTGTGAGATCAGGGAAGACTTCCTGAAGGTGGCAGCACTTGAAATAAAACCTGCCCCCAATTGGTAGTGGGTGGGTGGGCCAATGATTGGTAAAGGCTTGGAGTGAGGTCCTGAAGAGAAGCCCAAGAGCCTGGGGAGCAACTGTGCCCACGGGGCGGATGTGGGTGGTAGATGAGATTGAGAGATGGGCAGTGGCAGGGTCTTGGTGGCTCAATGGCCAGGCAAGGGTGATGGCAATTAGGGGCCACTAGAAATTGTGAGCAGAGGAATTTGGCTTTCAAACTCAGCAGACTGAGGAAGGATGGGAAAAGACCACTTGGTACCTCACTAGGTCTAATACCTGGAGCTAGGTGCCCAGGTTCCTGGATCCCAGGTCATCATTCTTCCTCCACCGTATCCTTGCCCTACCTCCTTGACCAGGAGCCCATGAAGGAGCAGAGCAGTTTATACATTCTCTCCCCATCTGAGTCAGCAGCCCCCTCCCACTTCTCTTCTTCAGGATCTCCAGTGGTGCTGGGACAACGTGGTCAGGACAAATGAGTTGATGCTCTCTCCTCCATCCACCCCTGGCTTGGCGTTTGTGTGGGCTGAGACAATGGTGCAGGGAATGGAAGGCAGCTGTTGTCAATACAGACCTATTAGCTGCCTGGCCCCAAAGTCCCTGAACCTTAGCTGTCTCGTTCCATTAGAGGCAGCTCTGCTGAAACAGGCACTTTAGAGCTGAAATTCAGCGGGCGATCTGACCTGCCACTGCAGGCAGGCTGGCTGCACCCTCAGAATGGGACAGGAGCATACTGGCTCATCTGTTCAGTGCAGATTCAGCCAGTGGCCAGTTGAACATGCTTCAACCAAATCTGACTTGTGGGCTTGGGTCTCACTCTGTATCCCAGGCTAGCTCTGAAACAATCCTCTTTCCTCTGCCTCCCAAGTACTGGTATTACAGGTGAGCATCACTATGCCCAGCTAACCAAGTCTTTTTTTTAACTGACATGAATATTAGACTTCTAAATACAATTTCTCTTGCAGATTTAATGTTTGATTTCTTTTTCTCATCAGATTGGATAATCTTTAAGTCTATTCCAACTATAGTATTTGCAGTTTTATGAAAATATTTTCTATAAAAATGCAAACATTTGACAGGGTAAGAACTCAGTTGTCAATAAATCACCAAGCCAAAAACCGAAACAAAACAAAAAAATCAGTAGGGATAGTGTCTAGGTCAGGCAGCAGGGATCAGTAGGAGAGAGAGAGGAGGGAGACACCAAATATATATTATATACAACCTTTTCAGAGACTGTCCAACAGAGTTATACTGGAAAATATACAGCACTTGGCACAGGAGCATTTGGGTGAATACATACACAATGAAATCTGTAGACTAAATAGCTACATGAAAAGTGTACAGGTGCCTTCTTGGATATAGATCTGGTATCTGAAAATTGCTCACGCTACTAAGATGCTCCCAAAAGGGACTGAATCATATAGACATACATATATGTAATTCATGTGTAACATATATGTGTATATGATTCATGTATGTGCATGTGTATATATAATTCATGTGTGTATAATTCATATATATGTATATATAATGTATACACCATATGTGTGTGTGATTCAGTCACCTGTGTATGTTTATTTTTGTATGTAAACAACCTAGAATTGGGCATGGCTCTGTGAATACTGGTTGAAACAAACTTCTCCAGAACCTTTCAGCAACACAGTGTACCTGAATCAAGGATCAGTTTGTATAGTATATACCATGTAGGATTAATAATAATAACAGTAATAATAATATCCTCTGGCTGCCACAGGGCATTACAGAACTCGAGAAGCATTTTTCAAATCCATATCTCCTTTGACATTCATTAAAATCCCTTTGGGAAAATCAGGGCAAGCATTTGTGCCCCACAGTAGAGAAAATGAAACTCAAACAAAAATGAGCTAAAGTGGTTTGTGAAAGGTCACACGGTCCTTTCCAATCCACGCCAGCTCAGTTCTCCTTGGTCCTCAAGATCGAAAACTCAGGGTGCACTCAGAGGACTTCAAAGACAAAAACAACAGGGCAGAGTGGGAGACCCCATCTGCTTTCCCCCACGGAGCACTTCCTCCCCTCAGTACTCCCGAATTGTACTTACAGGTCACAGCATGCTTCGGTGGCGAGCTCCCACAGGCCCAGTGCTGAGCAGAGAAGACAGGATGTAGGAACAACCCCTACCCAAAGCCTCAGAGTCTAGGTCTCCGTGGCTAACACCAAGACCTTTTGCCGTGTGTCACCTGGTTAACTGGGCAAAGTTCTGCTGCGTGTGGTTCCGGATCCCAAGCCCAGAGCATTGCTCGCTGTCTGAGGCTGCTTCACCAGCACTTGGCAAGCTTAATATAGCTACCAAAGCCAAACTTGGCCCAGCCTCTGCACACAGCCCAGTTGGCCAGGCCTGCAGCTTTCAGCTGACCTTTCAACCCCGATCCCTCTGTACAGGCATATGGTCCAGGAATAGCGGCCCTGACACACGGCTCTGAAGATGAATTTATTTGCCAGGTTTGGATTAGTCAGAAGTCTCCATTGTGATTACTAAAAGCAGCCTCGGAGAGACAGTGTTTGCTGGCTACCTACCCACAGGTCCTGCCACTCTCCCAACTTACCCTGGTTTATAGGCCACATTTACAGCACTTCCATACCCCCAAAGGTGGAGTCAAATAGCACTCAGGCACTCTAAGTCTTCACAGTTTTTACTTATATTGTATGCATTTATTCATGAACTAACCAGTTGTGTGTGTGTGTGTGTGTGTGTAAAACAGAAATCAACCACGAATAGTATTCCTCAGTAGCTATCTACCATGTGTTTTGAGACAGGTTATCTCACGAGGGCCCTGGAGGTCACTGGTGTGTCTAGCCTGGCTGGCCACTGAGACCCAGGGATTCCCCTGTCTGTGTTGGGATTACAAGCACAATCACCACACGCAGGTTTATATGTGGGTTCTGGGGATCAAACCCTGGTCCTCATTCTTGTGCAGAAGGCACTTTGCCAACTGTGCTGTCTTCCAGCCCTACGTTCTTTTATAGCTCAGGCTGGCCTGGAGCTCATTCTATAGCTTCCCAGTTGGCCTTGAACTTGTAGGGATCTTTCTGCTTCAGGCTGCCGAGCATTAGGATTACAGATAGGAGCCACCATGACCCATCTATTTAAATGAATGGCAATGCCCTTTGCAAAACCCAACTTTCACCCTTACACTGCAATGTGTCATTCCAACTGCCAGGCTTTCACTCTCATCCCTTGAACGTGTTTGTAGAAAAGAAACTTAGTAAACAAAGCACATTCATTCTTAAAGGCAGGAAGTGGCATGCATATTCCACATTCTGACAGCCACCCAAGTCCTCTTAGGCCCTAGCGCCCATGATCGGGCAATCCACAGGTTCCTTCTCTGCTCCCCTTGAGTCTTGCTCTTGAATGTGTGTCACACAGAATGCTATGATTACACTGCATGATGTAGCAAGCACAACGTTTCTTGGGTGTCAGAGCAAAGGGGTATAAGAAATTCTCTCACACAATTTTGAAGACTGACCAGTGCCAGGATCTGCATAGTAAGTCGGCAGATAAACTCCAGGAATGGTGATGCTACAGTCTGAAGAGCAGTAAGGTGAAGAGCAGTAAGGTGAAAGCAATGCTTCAGCAATGCTTCAGCTCAAGATCAAAGGTGGGAAACTATTACACACATACAGCCCAGGACTAGAGAGAAGGCTCAGTAGATAAGGACCACTGTATAAACATGAGTTTGGATCCCCAAAACATGAAAGCCAGACGTGGTGTTGTGCATCTGAATCCCCAGTGCTAGGGATGGAGGTGGGCTGATCCTAAGAACTGACTGGCCAGCAAGTCTAGCTAAGGGATTGCACTACAGGCTCAGCGGAAGACCCTGTCTCAAAAGCAAAGATTGAGAAATGATTGAGGAAGACACACAAAGCTGACTTCCGGTCTCTACGCTGGCCTGCCCACAGGCCTGAGCACACATGTGCATATACACATACATACTCTGGCCCTTACGAAGTACGACATCTTTGAGTTGGAGTTAAATAGTTGTTTTTGCAAGCTTTGAAGACTTAAGGATTGTTTTTCTTTAAAGAATTTTATTAAGTATTATTTTGTGTGTATGTATGTTTTGCCTGAATGGATATTTGTACTTCTATCTTTGAAGTGTCTGCAGAGGCCATAAGAGGGCATTGAATCCTCTAAAACAGGACTTACAGGTCATTGTGAGCCATCATAAGGGCACTGGGAACCAAACCCAAGTCCTTGCAAGAGCAGTAAGTGCTCTTAATCACTCAGCACTCCAGTCTGGGGATTATATTTTTATATAGCATTATTACAGGGTGGCCGACCACTCCAAGAGGGAAAAGCTACCAATCCTATAAGAAAGGCAAAGCCATTTGGCCATCCTGAGGGCCCCACAGAGCAGCTGTGCACACACCTTTTCTCCACGGCATCAGGAGACCCTCAGAATTCAGGTCATGCTTTCTCCTTGACTCCCCTTAGTCTCCAACACAATGTGGATATATGTATACCTAGTTCTGGATTTGTCTATGTGCTGGGCCTGCCTGTTTCCCCTCTCAGTTGAAAACGCTTAGCAAAGACTTGCCCTGATCGTTTCTGTATTCCCTTTAACAAAAGCATATAGTATCTCGTTGCCTAGATAATCATTCCTTTGTGAGTATATAAGTATGCATGTGTAAATACACATATGTATTGAGATAAGAGGTTAACATGAGTGGCCAGGAAGCCCTCATGTGTTGGGAGAGATGTTGGGAGATGTTGGGCCCCAGCCCCCACGGAGTCTCTGTGAGTTGACAACCACAGGTGCATCCTGTTTTCTAGTCCTGGATTACAGCCTGGGCCTTACTCCACTGGCATCAAAACACGAGCTCTTACACCTGGGGTTTTGCTACTGTGCCCAAGTCTGTATATAAGGCTGCTCACTCCCTGGAACAGGGGCAGACGCACATAGCATGAGTGTCCAGATGGTTTGGTTTTTAATTAAATCTCCAGGATTTTGCCCAATACTCGGACTTAGTCATGGCTCGGACTCCACAAATGGAGGTTCCATTAGACTTAGTCGAGGTGTGGATGCCACACTCATCGATCCTCCTGTCTCTATCTTTCCAGCACTAGGGTTACAGGCGCATGCCATGTCCTGCTTTTTTCGGGGGTTAGGGATCTGAACTTAGTTCCTCATGCTTGTATGGCAAGCACTACACAGGTGGAGCCATTTTTCCAACCACCTAGATTAGTGGTTCTCAACCTTCCTAATGCTGTGACCCTTTGAAACAGTTCCTCACCCCCAACCATAAGATTATTTTCATTGCTACTGTTATGAATCATAATGTAAATATCTAACGTGCAGGATATCTGATATGAGCCCCCCAAAGGGGTCGCAATCCACAGGTTGAGAACCATTGCCCTAGATACTCATTATTAAATAAGAAAAATGAAAGGGTTCTACAAACATCCTTAAACCCACCAGAGACATGGCCTTGTGGCCACAGTCTCTTGGACCACAAGAGACTTATTGTTAAGCCCCTAGGACTTCTCAGAGGCTGTGAGGTCCTAAAGGAGAGCAGTCTATAAGAGACAATCCAATCATTTCAGAAAGCCCACAGTGAGCTATGGCTCCAGCATAAGCTCTTAGTCTGGTCCGCAGTCTATCCTAGGAGCAACCATAGACCTTGAAGATCGATAATCTAAACTTGGAGAGAAATAACACCTACCTGAGAGCTGGGTGGGGCCACCAAGTTGATGCCTGGAGGGGCTGCCAATGCTCCTGAGGGTGGACCCATGGCAGAAGTGATGACTCGGTAGGGAGAACCGAGAGCATTGAGGGGGGTTCCCACAGCACCCAGTGTCCGTGGGGCACTCACTGGAGTGTCCGTGTAGCTGGGGTGGCTGTCCATTGGCTTCCCTGTGGGCAAGACTGCTGATGGGCTCATGGATGTGGAGCCAGTGTGGGCAGGGGAGCCTGTGAAAGGAAAACCATAGGTCATGAGAGGTTAGGGAAGCAAAGATAGGGCTCCTGTGGAGATAGAGGCCTAGCCTACCTCTGATCTTGCTTCCTGGGTAGATCCCCTCCATTTGGCCACTCCTACAAATGCTAGTTGCTCAGACAAGCCAAGTGCAGGGATAGCAGAAGGCTTGGCCTAGAAGAGGAAATCACTGATGTCTTAGTTCTCTGAGTTTCACTCTGCATCCCTTGTGGCCTGAACGATATGCACGGCAAGCACAACAATGGCATGACTCACAAAGTCCCCAGGTCCCTGTGACTGTGTCCTGGGCCAGTCAGTCAGGAAGAGCAAGTCAATGCCCATGTGAGGAATAGAGTGAACGAACAGGTGCCCGAGCTTTATCAAGATTCCCTACCTCAGCTTCGTACAGCTGTGAGAACTGAGGTGAGACTAACATCCACTCACCCATATGCAAATTGGAATGGCTGAACTGGCCTTGTGGGTACCAGAGGCTGGGAAGCACAGGAAGGTAAGTGCGCACAGGCTTGTAGACAGCACTTCCACCTCCAGGGAAAGGGCGCTATGACACTAGTGGCTGTGGAAGAAGCTCTGAGAGGATGGGAGCAGTGATTAGTATAAACTACTGGTGTTCCCACTAACACAAGATGAAAGAGATGGGTGGGTGTTCTCCCATCATCTTGAAAGCCCACCAGGGAACATTCTCTCCAGTGGGATTATAAACCCCAGTCTGCAAAACAGTCTAGCAAACATAGCAAGGGCAGCCCTGCCCCCCAACAGCTGATAGGAACGTCCAGATGCCAAGAAGTATGCAAAATCCTGCCCTTAGTTCAGTCATGGCACCTTGCTGTACACAGGGACAGAAAGAGAAAAGTGAGTGGTTAGTGAGTGTGGCCTGCAGGAGAAGCTGCCCAATGCCAAACACCTCCTGTGATCACACTCCATGGGAGCAATAAGTGCTAAGTGCTAAGTTCTGAACAGGGAGTGTCAGAAATTAACTGTGGAATTGACCTGAAATGTCTGCCTGGAGTTTCTCTTGGCCCTTCTGCTTCGTTAGTTAAGGTCTACCTAAGGAAAGGAGTTACTCTAGGGCTGGCAAGGTGGCTTAGTGGGTAAAGGCACCAGCTGCCACGTCTAGAGACTGGAGTTCAAACCCTGGAACCCACATAGTGGAAGAAGAGAACTGGCTCCCACAAACTGTCCTCCGACTCCCATACATGTACCGTGGCATGAGTGGCACGCACACACACATTTTAAAAATGAAACAGAGAGACAAAGTCCAAAGTTCAGTCTCCAATGCACACACACACACACACACACACACACACACACACACACACACTAAAGGCAACAAACTAAATCAGGAACAATTGTTTCATGCAGAAAACCGTTTCCAGACCCCAAACTCATCCCACCTGGGCCCAACATCCCACTTTTGTCTAAAACTGTCATTCTGAAGGGAACTATTTAAACTCTTTTTAAGCAATAAATTGATTTTAGAGAAATACCAAGTGTAATGGCTAATCTGCATTGTCGACCTGACTGGATTTAGAATCACCTAGGAGACACACCTGGGCAAGTCTGTTTCCGGATAGGTTTAACTGAGGAGGGAACATGCACCCTGAATGTAGGCATCATAACCCCATGGATAGCGGTTCTGAACTGAATAGCAGGGGACAAGGGACAATGGCAGATGGGTACTGGTTTCCTGATCTGCTTGGATGTCAGCAAACATCCCCACACCCCAGACAGTGGCATGTCCTGCTGCCACACCTCCCCCACCCCCCATGATGGGCTGTATCCCCTGAACCAGGAGCCAAAATAAATCCTTCTCCCTCAAGCTGCTTTCTCCCAGATTCATTGTCATGGAAATGAGCCAAGGAACAATATGCCAAATACAAAGTATATTCTCTCTATAAAACTGTAAAAATCATCATCAAATGATTTTTAAGAAACGTGGACTTCTCCCCAAAAGGAGAAAAAAGAAAACTGGATGTGGTGGTACAAACCTTTAATCCTAGCACTTGAGAGGCAGAAGTAGTCAGCTGAGCTCCAGGCCAGCCTGGTTAGCAAAAAAACAAGGAATGGGGAGAGGGAGGAAGGGAGGAAGGGAGGGAAGGAACAAGGGAGGGAGGGAGGGAGGAAGGGAAGATAAGAGGAGAGGAGGGAAGGGAAGGACTGGCCTGCACAGAAACATAGAAATAGATACTAGAGAATGTATAAGGTATTTCTGAGATAAACTGAGATGGTAACGTGCACACAATTTAAAAATGGAAGCACATTGTTACTGCTGCTAGTAAAAGTGAAGGCAATTTGACTATGAACTGCAGTGGTGGGAAGGGTTCTTTGTTGAGATAAAATAAAATAGTGCATATACCCAGTTACCAATTGTCTCAGAGGTGTACAGGACCAGCAAGATGGCTTAGTGGGTAACAGCACTTGCTGCCAAATCTGATGACCTGAGTGAGAATCTTTCCAGGACTCACACAGTAGGAGAGAACTAACTCCTGAGGTCATCCTCTAATCTCCCACATATGCCACGTCACAAGTATGCAATAGATAAACACATATACACATACTCTCACACTAGCAAATAAATAAGTATAATTTTTATTTTAAAAAATGTTAATGTGGCCGACTTCTAATGTGTCAGTCAACCCAAAAGAGTGGACAATTTATAACCAGATTTTCAAAACTGAAATCAAATTCAGAGAGACAAATGAATCTTGCACAAATGTTTTTTGGAACTCTGTCCCTGACAATGACCTAATAGTTCTTAGCAAAGGTAGTTTTGCTTTTAGCAAAGATATTGGGCTCTTCTATGGGTTGAATGTTTATGTCCCTCCAAAACTCATTTTCGAACTCAAACCCCAAGCTTGAGGAGGTAAAGAGACCTCTGGATCGATGCCCTTCTGAAAGAAGCTTCAGAGTGCTACAAGGCATTCCAGATCTCATCTGCATGTGAGGAAACAACATTTGTCTCTTTTCCACTCCTTCCCTCACAAGAGGATCAGAATTCACAGAGGGCACAGGATCAGAGTGGAGAGCCAGCCCGAGCTAGACACTGAGTCTGTCAGGGCTTTGATCTTGGACTTTGAAGCCTCAGGAATTATAAGCAAAAAGTCATTATTTATGAATTAGCCAGACTGAAGTACCTTGTTATAGCAGTGGGGATGAACAGTTGCTTGCTCGGGTTCACTCTGCCTCTGCATCCTGTCTACCTTGCTAGCTCCTTGATCCTGCATCTTGAACTTACATCATTTGTAATATGCCAACTGCCTAGAAACCTCGATAATGCACTTGGGCTATTCTACAGGGTTCATTTTTCTTTCTTCAATCAGCAGAGGTGTGTGTGTGTGTGTGTGTGTGTGTGTGTGTGTGTGTGTGTGTGTGTATGCATGTATGTGTTGGAAACTCCTTGGGAGGTCCTCATCTTTCCTGACAATAGACCAAGGAAAAGTGTTTTCTTTCTGTGGGCCTCATTTCTCCCAGCAAGGAGCTGGTGTTTGGTAGCCTCTATGATCCTTCCAGATAGTTCTGTTCTCTGATGGTACCCAGAGCACAGCCTTCAAGCACTGGAGAGAAAGCCAGACAATAGTAGTGTGCAATGGTCCGAGGTTAGCCTCTGGATGAGGGGACCCTGCTACCACCATCTGGACTCTGTTAGGCCTTAAAGCTGTCTGGCAGGTACAGTTTGAAATGCTGACTATCATCCGGGGCCCAGACTGTGACACGAATATCTAGGATGCAGAAAAAACACCATCACTTTCTGAAGTGTGTTGTAGCACCGTGGCCTCAGGAACGATCCTATAGAGGAGACACAAAGTCTGACATGGAAAAATGCCCTAGGTTGACCTCCAGACTCCGCTTTCTCAGCCATGTAGATTTTTGTTTCCTTAAACAACCAAAATTTACTCCATCAGAGTTCTGTATGCTGAAAGCCCAACATCTGTATGCTGCTGTGGTGTTGAGGTTTGCAGGTACCCTCCTTGCTGTGTCCTCCATGTGCCCTTGCTCCTGGGTCTCTTCCTCTCCTTACAGTCCAAGTCCTGCTGGTCCCTCTGTGGAACTGTATGGAGTGGTACAACCATGCCTGCCTCAGAGAACCGGAGAGAATGCCTGAGACCCACGGCCCAGTTGCAGCAGCTGGAAGGCTCACTACCCTGTAGTGAGGGCGAGGAAGGGACTATGTGTGAGTTGACAGTCACAGAAGACTAGTTTGGGGGAGATGGAAGGGCTGTGGGGGGTGTGGCTCAGTGGTAGCAGTTGCCTGCAGTGCATAAGGCCTTGGGTTCAGTATCTAGCACTGAAAAGTGGATTAGTCCAATCCAAGTGAACAGTGAACACTCACATAAGGGTTCCAACTATTAAGCTTTGATACAGGCACACGGGGTGGGGGGGGGTTAGTATTGGATTTTCTAAATGACTGACTCATTTGGAAAGTGATCCTCTGTCACCCCAAATACCCCAAAGCATCCTTAGGTCCCCTCATATCATTTCATAATTCAGCCTGTCACACAGGTCCTCTTTGATGATGTTTCTTCAGAATTCCTGGTGACCAGTGGTCAGTCACCCCTTTGCTTGTCCAGCCAGCCTGGGCCACCTGCACCCTGGACTAACTGTGAATGTGATCCAATACATTTGTAGACTACAATATCTTGCAACAATGTCAGAAGGTTGGACACCCCTGCTATAAACAATCATCATGGTTCCTAGCACTTTGCTCAAAATAATTTTTGTTGACTAATTATTGACTAGCTAAGCATTTGTTCATTATTATATATAATGAGATGTAGAACACATCAACAGAAATTATTTGCATAAGAAAATGTTCCTGGCAGTTATCAAAAGCAAAATCTGTGAAATCTCTAAACAACAAATTTAGTGTGTGTGTGTGTGTGTGTGTGTGTGTGTGTGTGTGTGTGTGTGTGTGTAAAGGAGAGAGGGAGAAAGGAATAGAAAACAGAGAGAAGGGGAGAGGAGAAACAGACAGATAGTTGTTGAGAAAGAGAAAAGGGAAGTACTGAGATGTACAGAATTCTTACCAAGGTAAGGAGTTGCTTAGCAACGGCTCCTCCGCCAATGAAAGTGAAATGTCAAGCCTGTAGTCTT